GGAAGGGAAGATGCCAGGGCAGAGGAGATGGGGGGGGTGTGATGCTGTGGGGCATGGCGATGGGACCACGGATGGGAAAAGCCCCCGCTGCGGGGAGAGCTGTGTCAGGCCTCAGGGAGGGATGCGGTGGCACGGAGGATGCTTTTTGTCACCCTCCTTTCACCAAGGTGCCAGGCACAGCCCTGGTCCTTGCATCGCGCACAGAAAAGCACCGTAGCAGTTTTTAACCATCTGGTTTAATGCTGGGGGGGGGCTCTGGGGACCCAGTCACAGCCCCCCACACACCCACCAACAGCTCCCCTCTTTCTCCTGCCCGCTCCCAGCCCCACTGGGTATCACCTCCCCATCAGGAGAGGGAGGCTGTGCACCCCTCCACGCTCCATTTGCTCGGCCAGGGAGGTGCTAAGTGCCTTATAAATACCCCGGCAGGGAGCTGGGGTAATGCCTCAGGGGGGGTAAAACATCCTGGCAGATGGGATCAGGGGTTTAGGATAGAAACAGCTTGCCTCTATGCTTCTGCCTCAGTTTCCCCATCAGTGCAAGGGGGGGGCTATCAGGCCCCTCGGGAAAGGCATGATGGAGATCAGCAGGGTACCCACACACCCCCATCTGCAGGAGGGTGGGGGGCCTGATTCAGTGCTAATGACCCAAATTAGACCTCCCCTGATGCCTTCTCACCTCCTGGGCCAGGAATTCAGCCTGAAACACAGTTTGCAGCCCCCAGTGACCACAAGTGTGGGATCCCCCAGCTCAGGGGGTCCCCTTCCACCCCAGTACCCATGGGGACAAGCCCCCCCCTCTCCCCATCCCCAGGACTCAGCATCCTTCAGGGGCCACAGGGAATGATTGATGGCTGTAGAGCCATCATCACTCCTGGTGCATCCCATCCCGTCTCCCCCCTCCCCAGTTTGGGGCAGAGGGTCCTGGGGAGCTGTCAACGCACCAGTGGGGGGGCTGGCTTGTGCAAGCAGCCCCTGCAGGGCGAGGAAAGGCAAGGAAGGGACAGGGCTGCCTGTCAAAACCTTCTGCGTGTGGCCCTTGCAGGCAAGAGCATCTGGGGACCGTGCCCTGCAAGGGTAGCCCCTATCCATCCACCCACCCCCCCAATCCCCAGCACGGCAGCTCCCCCAGCCTCCCCCTGGCAGCCCAAATGGGGCACCCTGCTCCCCACAGCTGGGGACTGACCTGGCCCCAGAGCCCCCCCCCCCCACCCCCGGCACCCCCCCCCCCCCCCCCCCAACCCCC